TCGGCACAACAAGCGCCGGCGAACGTATACCCGCTCATGGTGCATTTCTCGGCTTCCGGTCCGGTCGTTCGCATGAGGTGCGGCTTGGGCACGCCGGAGTGCGATTCCACCCGCAATCCTTGTGCCGAGCTCCCCATAGCTTGCAACAAGATCACGCCTCTTCTCCATTGCGATTACGACATGATCCCGAAACCATTCACCGCCATCCAACCGCACATGGCCGTCGATTGCGGACCGCACACGAATGACGGGATACAATTGCCATCCGCTTTTTCCATCGGAACGAAGTATGTTTTCTTTTGTGGCCCGCATTTTCGACGCCATAAGCTCGTTTCCATTAACACTTATCTTGCTCCCTGTTCCACACGAGGTAACAGCTAAACATCGCCATGTACTTATACTCCCTCCATCGCGTCTGCTCTTTCACTCCTTCCATATCCTTCGCCGCCCTTTTCCTACACAATGCGACGCGAGGTGTGCCGAACGGGTATTTGCATCACATGTTTTGGCATTCATGGTGTGTATTTTCAACCGTACGTTCTGCCGCCTGTGCGATCATTCTGACTCACACACACCTGTACGATTTGCTTGACACGACCTGCTGGTCATTTTCGACCCTCTGCAACTTTCCATTCACTCACATCTCTCTTCCGCTTTGCCCTTTTCTCAGGCTGTTCAAGAGGAGCTTTTTTGTGACGGTGAGGAACTCATTGACCTCGACGACCATGACCAAGAACGCCCGCGCCAGCTACATCGTCGGCACCACCTCCATCGCCGCTGTCGAGAAGAAGAAATGGGGGCACCAGAACTGTTGGGGCTACCACATCGTCGCCCTCTCCAACGGCGTCACCATCATCGAACGCCTATCCAAGACGCCCACCCCAGAAGCGATTGATCTCGCCTCTCGCCCTATCGCCGGCGCCGGCGCCGGCGCCTCTTTCCAATGCCCCGGCACCAGCGAAAAACGGAAGGTTCTCCTCAGGCGCGCGACGATAGCATAAAACCGCAAGGTCCGATCCCCATCCCGTTCCCGCACCGACTCTTCTGGAGAGGAACCCGAAGAAACCAACGACGAGTACCCCGACGACGAACAGGACCCCGACTTTTCCCCCGGCGACGATAAAGACGACAACGAAGACAACAACGAAGACGGCAACGACACTGACGATGTCGACAACCGCGGCAACGACAACAACGACGATGCCGACTCCGATGATGCCGACTCCGATGACGCCGCCTCCGACGACGGCTATGACACCGAATGGTGTCTCCGTTTATCTGCCTTCCATTTTTTGCCCTGAAGTGTGCGTGTGGGATCGCTGTTGCTTTCGCGTGTCTTCGGCTGTCTTTTCTTGAGTGCTTTTTGATTGTGTCCATCTTGGGTGCTTTTCTCCGAATCTTCATGCCAAACAATCGTTGAGCGTACTTTGGTACCACGTACCGTTGTAGCTTACCAACCGGCGGCCCAACGATCGATTGATTGTAGTTGTGCATCGTTTTCTCTACGGACCATTAATTTTTTTTGCCCCCATTGGAGTTGTCGATCCACGGTATCGTCGACTATGTTTGCCGATGAATCTGATTGAGCATTGTTGCCCCATATCATTGTGTTCGCTGGGAATGTTCTTGTCTTTTCTACGTGCCTTCGCTAAGCAGCTTTTCAATATGTTTTCGTTCTTCACGTTTGTTGGGTATGTGATTTCCGCTTCCTTGTGTGATTCCCTTTACTCGTCCAAAATTTCTTTCTATTCCTGTGAATTTTGTTCCATAATTCACCCAAGGCTATGCCTTCCTCTCTCGTGCTTGTCATTTTCATCTCCACTTTCACTTCTACCCTATCGAATTGCTGGTAATATACTTTTGGACGTATTTTTCTTCTCGAACTATCCATACAGATTCTCTTCTTGCACCACTACTCAGATCTCTCAACTCGTTGCCGGGGCGTGCTTCTCAGCTTGCGTGCTTTCATCAGGTTTTTTCGGGCCCAGCAGCGCCCACGGCGGGGCCCCCCGCAAAGTGCCCACTGCAGTATCAGATATCAGTAGAGTGCGTAATACAGGAATGACCGTACCTATCGTTCTAGATCTCTGGACTTGAATATGGTGTGGTATGATTTTTTTTCTTGATATTTCAATGGAGGTGTGTGGCTGCATGATGTGTACGGTTAGAGCGCCCCCTACTGCCACCCTGTGCGAGAACCCTTCGTTTCTTGTTGTTCCGAAGCGTTCCGAGTTATCTTGTGCGTGTGTACACACTTTTTATATTTGTCAGAGTCAGTCAACATCGAAATATTTAGTAGGTTGTCGTCCAGAGACTCAATACATTTGGAAAAACAAGAAAATAGGGGGGAAATCCTGGATAGTGGTGGTTCTATACCAAACTCCACATGCAGATGACATCATGTGCTCGCCAGTGGCGGTGAAAGAAGAAACTGAGCCTCGGCCCGATTTCTTTCTCCGGCCCGTACTCTAGCTGTACGGTAATAACAATATACAAAAAAACAGAGGGAACACATTTCATATTCTCAAAGTGGGCCCTGCGCCCTACTTCAGGTAAGTGTGCGGGATAACCTATTTCGTCCACCCTTGCTGTTCATCAAAGACATGGTGCGGTGTAATCACCAATAAGAAGGAACCTGGGAGGCCGAACTTGTTTCCAGGAAAAATATTGTGGTTGGCCAGTCAGGAAATAATGCCGACTTCCCTGTTCCCTGTTCTGGGAAGGGGGCACAACAAATCAACAATAGAAACGAACACCATGTTCTGCGTGACACACGAAAGCGGACAAATAAACACGTGGAAACATACCACATAGGGCAACTAAACGACCTCCCGGCATCAACCACCGCCGCTCCATTGCGACAGGAGGTCACCCCTTACACTTCGTATTCTAGCACCTACAGTAAGTCTCTGTGACCACGGTGTAGGGTAGAAAATTTCATGATTTGCACATTGATTGGTTGTAGGTAGTGGCGTCCGGTTAGCATGTCGAAAATGACACATTCAAGGCCTCCAACCATTGAGCTCGACGGTCCCTCCTTATGGACAGATACGCGGTGTAGCAGGCAGGTGCCCCCCCTTGGCCCTACCGATTGTTATTCTTACAGTGAAACCCTTCAAGTAGCGTTCCTGCTTGCGCCACTACCACTTGTGGAATAAAAACGTTCTCGTAATCCATCGTGTGGTGCCCACCACAGCCTGCAAGAACTCCCCCCTTTGTGCGACAAGCTCCCGCCCTATTACATAAGCTACCAGATTGCGTGGATTCTCGGGACACTGGACAACCACCCCCTCGACCCAGCCCCGGTGTTTCGGGTGAACTTGACGGACAGGCACCGACAAACGACAAACCACACAATGAGATGCGCTCTCTCTCCCAAGTCGAAATATTCCCTCATGGTGATACCCAATGGTAGTCTGGACCCTTTGGGTACAACAACGTCCGCCAAAGGGATAGAATACGGTGAGGGTGGTTTCAGGTGCATGCGCCGCACCTAACAAGACCGACGTCTAGCGAGTTGGAGCAGCAATCGAATGCGAGTCCAACCACTTTTGAACATTGTCGTTCCGAACCCACACCATCCCACCCCTCCCGTCGGTGACACGCTTCATCTCGTCCCTGAAGTCGATGTAGCCATCGCCATCCCGGGCGTTCTTAACCCTGTCAACTTGTTCCTTGTCCATGAACTTCTTTAGTGCTTCATAAGAGGCCCTCGTATCCCTTTGCAACTCTGCGCCGATGTCGTCGTCACCCGAAACAGCACGGAGCAGCGCCTCCTCGTCGATAGTCCGGTCGACTAGCTCATTGACCAACCCATCTTTCACGTCCTTCAGGAAATTCGAGATGTCCACGTCCAGCCCTGTCGTTGCGTTGAGCGCCACCTTCGCGGTCACCACGGCCACCTAAAGGAAGAGGGCGCACAAACAAAACGACCAAACAAAAATCTACAATATAGCTCATATCACTCGCATGTCAAGGCATGACCCAAGCAACCTAGCCCCAATATACCACGCCTTGGAAATGTAAACCCGTGTTGCAAGGGGAGAGGTGCTCATTCGGAGTACGACGAACCTCCCCCAAAATAAGAGGGTACCATAAAGCGTTGAACCTCACCGTAGAACCCCATCAGAAACAACAGTGTCACCTACTCCGACCGGCCTCTTCCAAAACCCTTGTCTTACCTGAAGGACAGGCGATATTTTCTTCACCCAGCCACGCGTCTCCTGAAATCGATAGCCTTCACCACCATAGCCGCACGGTACCTTTGTCATGTCGACCGGGCACAAGAAGTGAAGTGTCATATCTTTCTTCCCCAAGCGACGCAGCTTGCTCAGCACGCTCTTCTTCCCATGAGCCTTCGATGCAGTGCCATCAGCTCCAACCTCCTTGACGACCACAAGGCGAGGGTAACGGTAGTTCGGGGCCTGCAAGTTCCTGATGCGCATGAGGCTTTCCTTGGTGCTCTCCAGCACCTTGTCCAGCCTTCCCGATATCATGGTGAACCCGTCCTTCACTTCCTTCTTCACGCCACGCAACTCGGCGTTGGTGTCGTCGAACCCTTCCTTCATCTCGCCCTTTAGGTTGCTGACCCCCCCTTCCACCTCGGCGAATCCCCCCTTCACAGCTGTGGCCACGTCGTCTATCTTTCGAATCAACTCGCCCTCCTCCTGGGAAGGATCCTGCTTTGTACAAACATGACGCAACGACAGGCACAGGACGGCCACACTCAGCTGCAAGCCATAGAGCAAAAACAAATGTGTGCCCCGACGAAGAAGGACCGCACCCCTGGTTCGGAACGTTGGGGAGACACCTAGAGCCAGGCAGGACGGCCAGGCCGATGCAATGTGGAATAGGCGATATCAGCATATGCCTCCTGCGCACCCTTTCCGAACGAGGGCATATTGACAGACGCCATAGAGGTGACTTTTTCCTCCCGTTATTGGCCATCCCCGTAAGAACGCGATGGTGTCGTGCACTTGCGCAGACAAGGCTGTAAGCGAGGAGCAAGGAACACGGCAACATCAAGATTGTGCCTCCGATCTTCTGTCTAATGCATACAAGACAAAACAAATGAAGATACAAGCCGCAGAACAAGCCGAATTGCGGCACCTGTCATCGGCCGACCATGCCCGAGGAGGGTCACAGTGGTTGGTCTTAGAGGGGAATCAACATTGAAGAACATTCAAAGGATGTAATCTATATCTGAACGTGATTTTGTCGCTCGATACTCCGAGATCTAGGAAATGAATCGCCGCACGTTACGAGCAGCGGCGTAAAAATCACGTCAATACCTGACGACAACCCGAAACGCCGAAAAACCAACGAAACAGGCCAGAGCTCGATGAACGCGGTTTCGTCCCCTTTGATCCACCATGGGCACAGTTTGCCCAAGGAATTACTCAAAAAATATTGTCGTCTTTCCTCAATCGGATCATACCGGAACACACGATGATGCGGCAAAATCGCTCCGACTAGTCGATTGTGCACTTCTTTACAACCGAAGGCGTGCAATCCGTTCTCACCGTCGGGCAAGATAAGGAGTACTGACTGTCCAGGTCGTCGAACCTCGCCTTCACGTCGTTGAAAATCACGTCTACCATGCGAAAATGAGCGGAACAAGTAGGCCAGCACCACGAACAGTTATTCTCTTGCTCACGACGAGATACTCCCATCGCAGATACCCCCATGGGTAGCCCGGGAGGGGTGGCAGCAACGGTCGAAGCTTGACCCGGCCGGAGCCATCGAATCACTCCTCCGTGTTGCCTACTTTGCGTTACGTACAACAATATCTTGAGCACGAACGTCAGTCTCGATGAAGACCCCGGCAGGGCGTAGACAACGCAACAGAACTGCAAGGTCATGCCCCCAACACTCTGTACTCAGTGGACCTACGGCTGGACTCACGGATCAACGATGAGAATCAACTGACGCTGAATTCGGCAAAAGCCTACATGTACCCAACCGTTGCCGAAAACGTAGGAATCAACGCACAGGTTGAAGCGATCGACCAGGATTAGGGGAAAACGAGGGTATGAAATGTACATATAACGGTTTCACCAGGGGTCGAAGTTGATGCACAGGATTACGAAGACTTCAACAAAACACCACTGTAAGCCTATCGAACGTGAGATTCGAGACATCGCGAGTGGGTTCCGTGGCCTGCAATCAGTTGCTTCATGTATTGCTCTTACAGATTGCTGTTGGACTCCACTGCTGCACGGGTTACAGCGTGGTAGCCCACGCGCAGAACGACAACAACTTTTTTTTACCTAACCTCAACCCTAAACGAAAGTATGCTAGGAACTCACAAACGAACACAAAAGAAACTGAAAATGAAATATTCCGTGATCCAGTAAATATACCGCGATCTAAAGCCTTCCAACAGCGAAGATAAAGCTGAACGGGAAATGGATAAACCTCAGCCGAGAGCCGGTCGTTCTTCGTTCTTCGTTCTTCGTTCTGCGTTCTTCGTACACCGCCACAAGCAAAATCTCAATCCACTATGCTAGTCGCCACTTAGAACAACTCTACCGAGCCTTACGGGTTCTACGTGAGAATGTTCAGTGTATTGCACGTGCTCGACTGCGACATGGGAACGCTCGCACGTCTGTTGCAGCAACACACAGGTACTATTCGAATATAATAGTAACGGTTCGCTCGGTGTGACGTATCGCAGAGGGCGATCATATCGCAGTAGAAAGAAGACCTACGAGAACTGGAGCCGATGCGATCTCGCTCAGTTTGGCACCAATCGGAGCTACAATACTGCATAGGGGCGTCCGTGAGACTAGCAGAATCGAATGCATGAATCCAATTGCCGTTGGGGTGGCGGCGATCGCACAGGTGGCAGCCATCGCACGGGGGGTCAAAAGCAAATCGGATACTTCCGCGCTCACTCGCACTTGTACGAACTCCCTACTGGTCGTGCATACCTCGGTCCAGTCGGATGTCGACAAAGCGCACGAGATCGATCGCCGCTGCCCCGAGCCCGCCGGTGTCTACACTGCATTGTGGGCATCTACTGCCTTCCAGAAGTTTGTCTCCACCTCTTCTCGCCTGACAAGTGGGATGCAACACGTTTCCCGTATATGTGGTGGTGGAATAATAGACTAAATTGATCTCGAGGAGTTTGTCTCCACCGCTTCTCGCCTGATAAGTGGGTTGCAACAAGTTTCCCGTATGTGTGGTGGTGGAATAATAAACCAAATTGATCTCGCATCTTGATCCGAGGATCGCCTCAGACACCTACAAGTCTTGCACGTAAGGCCCTTCGAATGCCAAGAGAACGCCGGACGTGAGGCACAGCAGCAGCAAAAGCACTCAAGGCTAGCAAATGTCTGCATATGGCGACGCACTCATACACACCCATCGAACAAAAAGGCAAGAGTGAAAATGAATGTCAAATTTATGCAGCCACGTGCTGCTGCTGATGCATCGCCGCGTTTCTAAGACATTCGATTGGCAAAGGTGCCACCTGCACGGACGACAAGTAAAGTACTATAGCTTGACAATACATAACCTTGGCGAAATGACACTAATCAACTCTCCACGTGTTCCACTACATAGTGCAGTTTCCTGTGCTCCCAGTTCCCGAAGAGATAAATCTACGCAGAGTGAACGGCGCTACAGAGAGAAATAATGCTCCAGATGCAGTCAAAATCCCGCATTGGAAAGAGCACCATGATGGGAAATGGACACAACATACCTACGTCGAATGCACGAATCGACAACAGCACACAGGATCGACTGTACCCAGAACCGGGCGAGTCGAGCGACCAGAAGTGTACCCATATTAGCCATTGGTCTGCAGGCCTTACGCGTGTTGAGGGCTTACCATATCGACAAAGAGCATCGCGTCACCATGTTGAGGACACTTCAGCGAGCCTTTCCAGCGCAGTCCGGGAAAATCCACCAGCATCAGTCTCACGGCCGACATGACGTATGACAGGGCCACCCACGCAGCTGGCGTGCTGATATCACCGAAAATCTTAGCAGTAAGCTCATTGTCGGTGGATGAGTATTCTAATACCACAGCGAACGTCCTGCGCCCATCTTGGACGCCAAGGCTGCCATGCACAAGCACCCCATACCGCCAGAATGTTCGCACACCGCCAAGACCGCAGCACCGTGTCAACACCTTTTCCACTGCTCCAGGCGGTACACCGAGAAAGATCTTCCAGCTGGCGCTGAATGCCGGGGTGAGCCCCGAGCAGAAGGTATCGATCACTTTACCGACGCTCTCGGGGCGGTTTGGCTTTAGCCTCAACAGAACCACCAGGCCTTCATCAGGATCATTTTCGAGTGGGAAAGTGAGACCCAAGGACGCAAGAGTGGGGAGGACATACTCCGACAGACCATCCGGCCACATGGCATACGCCAACTTGGGTTCAAGAACGCCTTCCTTTTTGAGCCTGTCCCACGAAGTGATGTCTGATGGATCGTCGAGTGTGATAGGTGTGTCGCCCGTGTCCCCAAGATTCACACGGCCGTCGAAGGTCTCCTGGTCCTTGTGATTGAGCAAGGGCTTGAGGATTCTCGCCAGCCAAACGACGTCCAGAAAGACGAAATTCTCGCGGCGAACGAGGGATCCGTCAAACTCCCTGCCAAAGGTCGAGTTGGAAAATCCGCCCAGGGTGAGTTCACAAACCATGAGAGGCGGTTGCGGAAGCGGCGTCGCCACCTCTTTTCCGCAATGGGACCAATACAAATCTTGGTTGCAAAGCCATCGAGGATGTGCACAGCGGACGGTGATATTGTACCTACTGTTGGCAGCAGGCCCCACCGCGTGACGAGACCGGTGGCTTCGTGTCGGACTGCCGATTTGGATATATTTTACCTGACTGAGAGAGCTCCCTCCAACGCATTCTTGGCGTTTGTAACGGTGATTCCTCTCCGCTCAAGCTCATCCACTGTTTCCTGCCATTTGGTGCCCAGCTCCTCGACCGTGATCCCCTGATACACGTCTGTCTTGCCCCCTGCCGTTTCCGCCGCGTCTTCTCCGTCGGGGTCCGGAGACTTGCCCAATACCGCCTCCACGGGATCTCTGGGCAGGCAACGTCCAAACAAAACCAGGATCAACGTGGCGTTCATATATCCCGACCGCGCAAGTCGCCGGTGCTTAATGCGTGCTAGTGTTCGAAGATGCCATCAAAGCAGCTACACGATGTGGGCTACTGGTGCAACTAAACGAAAATAACGTGACCAGAGCGGCGACTCGCGAAAAACACAACCATTGTTGGACAACCGAAAAGCGAATCCGATGGAGTTTGGGCGGAGAGGCGAATAGCCAGGGATTGCCGGTGTTACCACCGCTCCACCTGGTAGTCACATACGTGTTCACTTAGCTTTCGAGACGGAACCGAGATGGGACGATCGGTTTTACTTAGCCTCAACAGTCTATATTCTGCAGAATAATTCATTCCTGCGAGTGGCGAGGACATAACTGCGTCTCTTCGGCTATTATTGACGTGGGACCATGGGACTACATTTCGTCACCATGACGAGCACCAAAGAGCATGCACTGAGTTGAGCCCAGACCGGGTAGTTAACGCTAAGAACAACCACCACCTCTACCGCCAACAATAACAACCAACAACGAGAGTTTACCGGACTGCTACACCCCGCAGGCTCTAGGCGTGCGACAGTCTCCTGTGCAGAACCCAAACACAGAGGGCCTAGGTGGCATACTGGTTCTTCCGTGTTTCAATAGCGGCATACAATATCTGTGTACACAATGTTGGTTCGTGTCGTGCTTGTATGAGTTCCAAGTTGCGGTGCTGTGGTGCGACAAGTTTCCAACAATCAAGAGCTTAATGGATTGTTTCGCGGTGGTGAGCAAAGTAACGTGTTTACGAACGCCGCGCACCCCAACATGTTGATCGTTTTTCGTGGGTGTTTCAAGGTGGACTTCGGCGAAATCTCCGAAATAAGGGGGTTCAACCCTGTCCCAGTGGGGAAAACTGTACGTGTTCAGATTACCCCCGGCATCGACCTACCAATGCATCCAAACTCGTTGTAGAGCCTAAACATAAAACCATGATCAAGCTCACCGTCCATGCTCGAGAGCTTCCAGAACAGTGAGGGCGATATCCCAGCTGCGAGGAAGCACCGTCTGGGTTCCGCGGAGACCCCTTCCGTCAGGCTTGTTGACGAGCCGGTGAAGAAAACTGGGCGGGGGTTGATCGTCTTCCTCGTCTCGCCAGTCGCATGCCCAACCCCCCTTCGATCCATGGTTCCCCGCGCTTCTATCGCCATGCTCATCAACTCTTACCGGCAAGGAGCTCGTGAGGCAAACGTGGGGCTCCAACCGAACGGGCTGCATACCATTGCGAACCCAGCCCGATAGCCACGTNATGCTTATCAACTCGTCCCGAGAAGCAGCTCGTGAGGCAAACGTGGGGCTCCAACCGAACGGGCTGCATACCATTGCGAACCCAGCCCGATAGCCACGTTCGACAAGCCTTCTCCATTCTGCTGCCAATTTCCCGTGCGTTCCCACCCGCCAGGTCACACTTGGTGGCGACGAGAATGACGTCGTTGTCGGGAATCCGTCGAGATATTGATCGTAGCCAATCGCATACGCGCAATTCTTCCAGCTTGCGGCAGTCTCCCTCAACCCCACCACAATGTTCGCTATCTCGCCGCTGTCCGAACTCCCCCGCGTTACACACGAGCACGCAAACCGACCGTGGCGTCAGAAACATCTGCAGCAGCCCCGTGTAGGCGACCTGTTGAACGTGCGAAATGTGATTTGAACATCAAACATTATCGACCTCGTGGCCGCTAATCCTTGCGGATTATACCTCGCCCAAGTCTATAGACGACACAATCCCCCATTGACCTATTCGAGGCACGAGGCACCTCCGAGTCGAGAAGGTAATGCGCTGTAGATACTCCACACAAGAGCGGGGGGCTAAGATTCCATGTGGCGCACTGAAGCAAACACTAACAAGTGTGGATCATGCACCAAGCACTACCTCACACTCAAGTGGCTTTTTCAAGCTTGCGTTCTGTAAGCAACGTGTTGAAAAACTGCGGGAAATCAACACCTCGTGAAATAGATAACACTAAGCAGCGCACAGCAGTTCAAACCAAACAGGCGCTGATATCTTCCCCCCTAGCGCAACAACACATTCGTGTCAACTGTCTCTTTCCGCAACCCCCAACGAGACGACATGCAACAAAGCCGAAGGTTCTCTCCACCAGGACACCCTTAACGAATGAGCCGTGGGGGCTGCAGACAAACGATTTTTTCGCTGGCTCTTTCTTCATACTTCAAATCAAAAAAGAAAAAAACCTTCCCGCCGGATGAACCTGGTAATTAGCACAAATATCAAATTTCAGTAGGGGACACCATCAAGAGGGAGTGTGCATGCTGGCACGTTCAGGTCTGTTACTGGAGCTGAAATATCGAAGGTCGCAGCAGCCTCTGAAAACAGTCCGACATCTGCGCCGGAACCAAGCGAAATCCAACATTTGTCACAACCGTGCTCACGCCACGGACCGTAAACCCCCGACGGAGGGTTGTCAGCAATAGCTGATGGCATCACCTACTGCTGTCAACCCGCAGTTCAGGAGATTGGGGTCAAAGGCGGCGAGCGCACGCGTACAAGACCCTGGATGTCGGTCAATTTGACGAGATTTGCGGATATTGTACGCCACTACTACGGCCCTCGATATCACCACCACAGAGCAGATTTGAGCGCGTCAACACACACCGCCCGCTGTTTCAGGGTGTCCTCTAGTGATATTAGTACAATGCACCAAGTTCCTGGCAACATCGACACTATTTGAGCGCCTTCCGTTTTGGCTCGTTTGACTCATTTTGAACAGTGTGGATTTTCAGCTTGAGTGCAAAGGAGGCAGGCGCGTGGGGGTAGACGCGTGAAATGTCTGTTTTGAGCAGCCTCTACTGCCACCCTTTCCGAGAATCAACGAAATATTTTTTTCGCGATGCCTTCCGACTGGTCTTGTGTGTATGTTGTGCATTTTCTGGCGCACTTGCGTTTGTTTTCAAAATTATTCAACATCAAAATTCTTCGTCTGCCATCTCTTGAGGGGGCCCGCCAGGATACGCTCCCAAAGCCAAAAGTTAGGACTCACTTTGTTCGGTGTCTACAAAAACCCAAACGGTGTCGGCGGTCTGCCGTTTCCCCCGACTGAGGCCAAACGCCTTGACAAAACTCGATGCCCGTGCCCCGATGAGCACAAGATTCATTACAGCCACGCGATCCCCAAGCAGTCTACACCCGTGCTGCCCCCCACCTGGGTTATGCATGACGGAGGCCTGTGGGGAACCAAGTCCTGTAGGGCATGCTGGTACTTGAACTCATTCGGTGTCGCGCGAGACAACTTTCAATGGGCAGGACAAGCTAAAAGGCATTTGGAGACACTGGGGGCAGGATTCCGCTTTTTCTGGCGATACTTCCTCCACGTAGTCGTTACAGTATCGCTCGCATCTAAGGCAGACAACGAATGCTCCTGGGCGACGGTCTCACGCAACACCTCCGTTAAGCACCGATCGGAAACGCTTCGCACAACACCTAACACTTGTCACCTGTCCAGCGCAGTCGTACACCCGAACGGATGAGCCTTGTAGCTCCATGGGTTCCACGTCGGCAACCACCGTGCTCTCCTCCTTCCAGTCGCCCGTGAGGGTTGCTTTGTTGGCCTTCATGCTTTTGCGCAAGCTACCACAATAAGAGAAGAAATTCCAAGAAGTACGCAGCACGAATGAAGGAGAGACGTAGGAACAGGGTCGTCGGGGTGCAATGTTGAACTCGCCGCAGTTGAATTGCGGCAGCCTACACCCGAAAGCATGCTGACGGGAGGGAAGAGCACACAGAAAAGGGTTGATCTCGTCCCCTGACAACCATTCGTTTACACCGAGATTTTCAACACCATGATTTCGGCAGATATATGCGTAAGGTATGCAACACACCCCCCCCCGAGTGGGTAAGGGATGCGCTTAAACACGGGGGGCAATGGAAGAGGAAGGAAAACACCTTAGACAATGTGAATGTGAAAAAATATTTGTAGGTGTACAGCGCCGTATTGGGCAGGTTTGGTATGAGTATCCTGGAGACAAAGTAGAGCTATCAAAACCATGTGGTTGGAAAAGAACGTTCAAGATGTTTAGTTGAGGAGGGTGAGGCAAGCGGGGGGGGTGTACTCATAGTCGTGCATGCCGAAGTCGTTAGACCATTGACCTCCCTACAAAGCAGGGACGGAGCACGCCGGCTTCTAACCGGATAGGCCCTCACATCATCAAGCGCGCAGCACCGTGAGGTATTCGGCGAGTCGCATGAAGGGTGCTCTGCATCCTGCTCAGGGTGTTCGGCATCTTGTGGTTACTTCCTTGCGAACGCATTGACAGCTGCGTATGAGTTAATTTATTTTCTGGTGCTTTCACTTCCAGAGACAGTCGGAAACACTGTAACTGCCTCGAGGATACTCAACCAATGAAACGCAACGTGGTGCGATCATCCCCATTGCGCGGAGTGAGGATTACCGACCCCGGACAACATGATCTATTCGACCACCATTATGGCTACCGCAAAAACAAAAAAACAGAGGCAATAAAAAAACGGTAACCTGCTTGCCGAGCGCATTATGGCTACCGCAAAAACAAAAAAACAGAGGCAACAACAAAAAACCGGTAACTTGGTTGCCCAGCGCACGAATTGATTGGCCTGTGTTACAACGTCGTTGCCAAGCGACGAAAACCCAACCTCGACGGCAAACACCGAGGGGCGAGGCGGGGGGGTGGGAAATGGTTGCCGGCGTGAAAACCTCAATGGCAAGTACGCGCAAGTGCGACGCAGCGGAATTTCAGTATGAACAGCGCAGGTCGAGGGTTGAGCCATGCGGGTAGGTAGTCTTGAAGCGAGTAGTAGAAAGATTGTTGAACCCTGGATGCGTATTGGTTTGATACCGTTTGATACATCCGTGTAAATGAGAGGCTGGGTATTGCATGGGTGCGACAATGTCATGATGAACTTGTCTATGATGTCCTGGGACACCAAAGGCTTTTCTAGCAATTGCTCTGAGGAGACACGCTCCATCATCTACTTCTAAACTATTCCATGCTGGTGGCGGCGTACGTCCCAAAGGTTGACACTGCGAATGGACACGACGAAGCGTCAACCATTAGGCTTCGTGTACGTTACGGCACGCCAGGTGCGTCGACGGCTTGCAGGAATTCCACCGACGAAACCTCGGGGATGCCAATGTTCTTCTTTCATCAATGCTAGATTGAATGGCGTGTTGGGGGCGCGCCGGCCGGGGTCATGAAGATAGGCAATCGGCAAAACCAGAAAATAGTAAGCAACCGAATATACGGGAGGAATGCCACTTCACAACAGCACTTAGACAGGCATAGGACCCAGACGGACCAGCGTGTGTTTCTACCAAAAAATAAAACATTTGAAAGGTGGAAAGGTGGACACACGTATGCATACACAGCAGCAGCAGCGGCGGCAGAATTGGACGCGAAGAGAGTGAGAAGCGAGAACAGGGCGGTTCAAAAGGGAGGGCAACGAGAGAGGCAGAACCTGCACCAGCACCAGCTGTTAGAGCCAAAACGGCGTCCCATCTCACATTGCTACTTGAATGGCATACGCGCTTTACTCAGCGGATTACATTACTCAGCGGTTTACACTTCTGGCGGGTGTGTTGTCTGGGCAACAGCAAGCGGAACCACGGGGAAAGGACGTGCGTTTTTGAATCACCCTGTCCGGGTGCGGTCGAAAGCTGCTCTGAACAGGTCAATACTTGCTTGAAAGCAGACAAAACGCTCCCCGAACAGTTTCCACGGCTACCGACCTGAAAACACATGTAACAATTGTTACAAGGGATCCCTCTTGAGTGGGCTACTGAGAGCGAATTGTCATCAAGGGGGTGATGTAAGATGCCAAAAATACAGTATGATCGTAGCAGAACCGGCCCACAGCTGGCTGCCGGCTGCAAGTTCACAGCTGACGTATATTTCACCCGAAAAGCCCAGCGAACCTCAACGAGCAAAAAGCATAAAAACGTGGTTTCAGTCCAATGCCAAATCTAGATGGCGCGAGTGATCGCGCACTCTCCCAACGTAGACCGACTTTCAAAACTCAAGTACTCCACAACTAAGAGAGCACCAGTCCCTAAACGAGAGGTTTGGACGATATTGTCGACAACGTTCTTCCATCTCTCATCAGGTTTTCGGCTTTGAAGCGGTCGAGTTGCTAGAGTCGCGGTCTAGAGGTGGTGCGATCACTCACTCACTCTAGGTACAAGACCAAGTACAATCGGAGTCGCGCATGGAAGGTTCAGGCGTGAAACGGCACGTGTGGCTACCGCTCTCCAGAAAACAAACGATTCTCTGGGGAAAAGCGACAACTGAGTGTAGTATGGTTGATCGAGCTTGAAATAATACCACACTGTGTCAACTGCGTTGTATCGAACGATTCCGACCAACCAATGTTTGGTGAGAGTGCAGCAGTGGATGACGGATAACAGCAGGGCCATCGCATAGCTGACCTCGTTTTCCCTGCGCCTTCCTGACCGACAAGGACAACCTTGACGCTGCTGCGCTTGATCCGGCAGGGCTCCGCATACAGGTCTTCGAAATACCCTCTGATATTCTTCAGACCTTTGACCACGATCGACTCTGGTGGTTCAGTCCATGGGTTACCACCGAGCCTACGGGCATGCGATCCGACACTGCTGTCGAGGACGTCAAGCAACCGGCGCAGCTGGCTGGGCATTGCTCCACCTGACGAGCAACGTAAAGCACGCGCACATGATGGGATGATTATCATCGCCCGCGCCACTTGTGATCACGAGGCCAGAGGGTAGTGACTCCAGCAGTAAGCTGCCTCTGGCAATGTTCGTAGTCCCCGCGTAAACTATTCAGTTTTTCCTTGTGGTTGATGCACGATGGGTGACCACATTGAGACGTTACCGCACGAGGCAGCAGTAAAGCTACAACAGGCTGGATAACGCAGCAGTCCATCGTCCACACACAAGGCCGTAGGTACCACCAACGAACTTCCTACGTCGTGGTGTGTGAAAGGTATGCTACGAGATGTGGGGCGATGTATTAGCCCCTCAAGGGTTCCACCTTTGCCCAAAAGACTGAGCCTGCCCTTCAACTCCAACATTCATTCCTCACATGGTACACTTCCCATAGGAGCTCCAACAAGCTGAGAATTTTAGTGCAATATGGAACTGCTGCTGGCATCGAGGACAACCAGCATCACGTACGTCCGTTCGCCACTGAGGTTTTCCAATTTACGTCGATTACCGCTGGGTCCACTCGCAGGCAGACAATTGACTGTCTCGAAGGTATTACTTTGGGCACCATGCTAAATGTAAGCATACCTGGCATGCTGTCACTTCCCTCATTGTGGTCGACATCTTGAACCTGTTGGGTGTGGTCCCAGAGAGCTGCCAAGCGAACCGAGAGTGCCAAACAGAGGTAGACGGCCAAACAGAGCCGGACCAGAGTGAATGGGTTCAGCAAATATAGGAGTGATGTCGAAGGGCGAGGTCGTGGACATCTTCGGGAGACAGAAAGCAGGTAGGTCAAAAGCAAGATCACATCACCGACTACCGCGACGGGACTGTGGCCTCAAAGCCCACCGAGAATTTTGTGAGTACCGTCTTGGCTATTCCTGTATCAAAACGAAGAATGACACGGCCGTTGATCAAAGCTCCAGCATGGGCAGTTCATACCAAATCGTGTGGGGGCACCCGTTTCTGCTCCTCGTCGAATTTTGAGTTCGTCTATTCCTGGACGATTGAATGTGGTGAGGCACATCAACAACTCATTCATTCAGCTGAAATCGGTGAGGCAGATCTCGTCATTTGCCGAACCCTCCAGAGACCGTTTTGGTCCCTTCGATGCAAAACAAATGGAAAGCAGCAAGCTTGCACGCATTCCGAAATAAGGCGCGACCACTCAGGGAAACGCTCACTCGGCATCCGAAATGCGATGGCCCTTGTTGCGTGCTGTCTCATTCTATAGGCGCAATTTCCGAGCACCTGACAGGCTTGAACAAGCTGTGAAGTTTCTTCGGCTAAAATCAGTTCACGGGATGGATCGACTGATTCAAATCGGCTGGACTGATTGACGATTGTTGTCACTTTCGGTCTTCCGCTGTGCCTCTTCAGACAGGCCTGATACCAAACGAGCTGGGGGGCCCCACCGACCTGAAGGCAACAACAAACTTACAGGTAAGTCGGCAAATGCACATACACCATGTTTCTTGGATGGTGTTCCTTGCATGAATCCCATCCACGAGTAGGCAGGTACGAAATTTCAGAACTCGCGGGATAACTTGTCTGTACCGTGCCCCACTGCCCTGCGTTGACTCCCTCGTCTACAGGCCATATCCCGCCGCAGCTAGGAAATCTTGGCGCCCTCAAGCACCTTCACCTCGGCCACAACAAGTTAGATGGTGAGTTGAACAATTCGAAATGCATTATATTTTCCTTCGAGTACTCAACATGCATGAATCCCGCGTATGCATGGACAGGACATATGCACATGTTGCAGAAATTACAAAAAAGAAGGGATTCAAATTTCAACACCTCTCTCACCGCTGAGCTGGTTGGAGGACAGGTCGAGCCACGTTACCCTGTTGAGAGCGCCGAGCTGAGCGGGGATCGCACCTGCGTAGATCGAAGTAAGAGTTGCGGTGCGGTGTCTTCGATTCTGGAACATGGGGCGCGTAGCAAAAGATATCCCGCGAGTTCCGCAATTGTGAAATTTCGTACTCGCCTAATAGGAGGGTACGAAATTTCAGAACTCGCGGGATAACTTTTCTGTGCCGTGCCCAACTGCCCTGCGTTGACTCCCTCGTCTACAGGCCAAATCCCGCCGCAGCTAGGAAATCTTGGTGCCCTCGAGTGCCTCTACCTCTACAGCAACAAGTTAGATGGTGAGTTGAGCGATTCAAAACGCATTTTGTTTTCCTTCGAGTTCTGAACATGCATGAATCCCGCGTAGTAGGCGGGACAAGGTCTACGGAGATCAGTTGTCTTGAAAATAGAGAGGCGGTTTGATATTATCTTTAATTCCCTCTTGATTTATATCACACTCCTGCTTACAGGCCCCATCCCATCCGAGCTGGGGCACCTTTCAGCACTGCGGGGGCTTTTCCTTTCCGTCAACCAGCTGAGCGGTGAGTCAACACGGTATTTTCTAGCGCTTTCCCGATCGATGTTGCGTGAGTCCGTGCATGAATCTCGCATTGGCAGGACCGTTTTTCTAGACGCTGGGGGATTTATTTTGTTTTCCCCCGGTAATTTCTTATTCCTTTTCGTCTAGCAGGCACTATCCCGGCGGAGCTGGGAAAACTCACGGCACTGCTAGAGCTATACCTCAACGGGAACGAGCAGAGCGGTAAGTCACTATTGCCCGTATCGCACAATTCCATCCTTTTTCTGCCAAGTTGCCGTATTTGAAGATATGTCCTGCCAATGCATAGGCGGGATTCACGCAATCCGGTGTGACGTGTGCACGCCGAACATATCGGAGACACTTACCGCTCAGTTTATTTACGCAAAGGCGGAGCGTTTCCAGCTTGACGAGCTGTCCCAGCGACGCCGGGATTTCGCCTGCATGGTAGTTGGTTTTTGAGGGATGGCAAGAGTCGTTTGGTGCGTAGCAACAGATGTCCCGCGAGTTCCNCAGTTTATTTACGCAAAGGCGGAGCGTTTCCAGCTTGACGAGCTGTCCCAGCGACGCCGGGATTTCGCCTGCATGGTAGTTGGTTTTTGAGGGATGGCAAGAGTCGTTTGGTGCGTAGCAACAGATGTCCCGCGAGTTCCGCGATTGTGAAATTTCGTACTCGCCTACTTGTAGGCGGGACAATATCTACGGAGATCAGTTGTCTTGAAAATGGAGAGGCGGTTTGATATTATCTTTAATTTCCTCTTGATTTCCATCACACTCCTGCTTACAGGCCCCATCCCATCCGAGCTGGGGCAACTTTAAGCTTTGCGGGGGCTTTTCCCTTCCGGCAACCAGCTGAGCGGTGAGTCAACACGGTATTTTATAGCTCTTTCCCGATCGATTCTGCGTGAGCCCGTGCATGAATCTCGCCGATGCGTTGGCGGGTACAAAATTTCGCATTTGCACGTAGCAAAAGATGTCCCGCGAGTCCCGCAATGGTAAAATTTCGTACCAAGACCCATCTTACAGAACAATTAGTAAACATACCCCTTTTTTTGTCCGCTGCCGTGCACTTGCAGGTCACATCCCCAAAGAGCTAGGAGCTCTCAGCAAGCTGCAGGACCTTGAGCTCTCGGGCAACAAGCTAACCGATGAGAGGGTGCTTCACAGCCAACCACGCATTTACCCTCAAAGATGTGTCCTGCCAACGCATCGACGAGGTCAATGCTGGAAAAAAATTAAACCGACCATCAAGAAAAAATAGGTACCTGTGAGGTGGTTGTTCTCGAGCCACAGACTCTGCAGCTGTCGGAGATCTCCTAACTCTGGCGGGATGTTGCCTGCAAGACGAAGGGAAAATAACAAGTTGGCGGGAGAAAACAAAATAATCCCCCGGCGTCTAAAAAACATTCCTGCCAACGCATCGGCGGGATTCATGCAGAAAATCTGATCGAAAAACACTTCAACTTTAACATGACTCACCGCTCAGCTGGTTGCTACTAAGCTCAAGTAATGTTAATGCTTCGAGGTTTCCCAGCTCCGGCGGGATACGGCCTGCACGCAGAAGACACACACAATTTTGCGGGAAAATAAATGAATTACCCGCCTATCCATTTTCAAGACAACTGACTTCCGTAGATCGTGTCACACCCACTGCATACGCGGGATTCATGCATGTTCAGCACTCGAAGGAAAACAAAATACATTTCGAATTGTTCAACTCACCATCAACCTTGTTGTTGTCGAGAAGGAGGTACCTGAGGGCGCCAAGATTTCCCAGCTGCGGCGGGATATGGCCTGTAGACGAGCGAGTCAACGCAGGGCAGTGAGCACGGTGCAGAAAAGTTATCCCGCGAGTTCTGAAATTTCGTACCCGTCTACTATTAGTAGGCGAGTACGAAATTTCACAATTGCGGAACTCGCGGGATACCTTTTGCTACGCACCAAACAACTCTTGCCATCCCCCAAATACCAAATACCATACAGGCGAAATTCCGGCGTCGCTAGGACAGCTCGTCAAGCTGGAAACGCTCCGTTACGTGAACCTCGGCGGCAAGTGTCTCCGATACGTTCGGCGTGCACACTTCACACCGGATTGCTTGAAACCCGCCTATGCATAGGCGAGATTCATCCATGGATCAATGCTAGAGAAAAGTTAAACCATCAAAATAAAAAAGGTACCGGTGAGCCGGTTGCTGTTAAGCCACAGACTCTGTAGCTGTCGGAGATCTCCTAGCTCTGGCGGGATGTTGCCTGCCAGACGAAGGGAAAGCAAGAAGTTGGCGGTAGGAAACACAATTAATCCCCCGGCGTATAGCAAAACGGTCCTGCCAACGTAACTGGTGAGTATTTTTGGTAAGATATGTTGGTCAAGTGTCAGGATGAATCCCGCGGATGCATAGGCAGGATTCAAGCAATCCGGTGTGACGTGTGCACGCCGAACATATCGGAGACACTTACCGCTGAGGTTGTTTGCGTAGAGGCGGAGCGTCTCCAGCTTGACGAGCTGTCCTAGCGACGCCGGGATTTCGCCTGTATGGTATTTGGTATTTGGGGGATGGCAAGAGTCGTTTGGTGCGTAGCAAAAGATGTCCCGCGAGTTCCGCGAATGTGAAAGTTCGTACTCGACTACTACTCGCGGGATAATTTTTCTGTACCGTGCCCAACTGCCCTGCGTTGACTCCCTCGTCTACAGGCCATATCCCGCCGCAGCTAGGAAATCTTGGCGCCCTCAGGTACCTCTTCCTCGTCAACAACATGTTCGATGGTGAGTCGACCAATTCGAAGTGCATTTTATTTTCCTTCGGGTTCTTAACATGCATGAATTTTCCTTCGAGTTCTAAACATGCATGAATCCTGCGCATGCATGTTTAGAACTCGAAGGAAAATAAAATGCACTTCGAATTGGTCGACTCACCATCGAACATGTTGTCGAGGAAGAGGTACCTGAGGGCGCCAAGATTTCCTAGCTGCGGCGGGATATGGCCTGTAGACGAGGGAGTCAACGCAGGGCAGTTGGGCACGGTACGGAAAGGTTATCTTTCTGAAATTTCGTACCCGCCTACTGGTAGGCGGGACAAGATCTACGGAGATCATTTGTCTTGAAAATAGAGGGGCGGTTTAATAATATCTTTCCCTCTTGATCTCTGTCACACTCCTCCTTGCAGGCCCCATCCCATCGGAGCTTGGGAATCTTTCAGCACTGAAGGCTCTCGACCTTAAGCGCAACCAGCTGAGCGGTGAGTCAACACAAAATTTGATAGCTCTTTCCCGATCGATTTCGCGTGAGTCCGTGCATGAATCTCGCCGATGCATAGGCGGGATTCAGGCAATCCGGTGTGACGTGTGCACGCCGATCATATCGGAGACACTTACCGCTCAGTTTGTTTGCGTAGAGGTCGAGCGTTTCCAGCTTGACGAGTTGTCCTAGCGACGCCGGGATTTCGCCTGCATGGTATTTGGTATTTAGGGGATGGCAAGAGTCGTTTAGTGCGTAGCAAAAGATGTCCCGCGAGTTCCGCGATTGTGAAAGTTCGTACTCGCCTACGCGTTGGCAGGACACATCCTTCTCTAAGGGGGAATTTTTATTTTTTCACGTTGAACTTTCCGCTAAATTCTTGTTAGCAATTTCGCTCCAGGCGCGATCCCGCCGGAACTGGAGATCTCCGAGAGCTGCAGACGCTGTGGCTCAACGGGAACCAGCTCGCAGGTAACTTTTTATTGTGAAAGTGTTTCCAATTTTGGTTTCAGCGTTGATCTTGATGAACGTCGCCGATGCGTTGGCAGGACCGTTTTTCTAGAATCCAAAACACGTGACATTCTCCTAATTTCTTCGTCTGGCAGGACTATCCCGCCGGAGCTGGGACAGCTCACGGCACTGCAAGAGCTGTACCTCGACGAGAACCAGCTGGGCGGTGAGTCACTAGCAATCGCACAATTACATTTTGTTTTGCCAAGTTGCCATATTTGAAGATGTGTCCTGACAACGCATCGGCGAGATTATGCACGGACTCACGCAACATCGATCGGGAATGAGCTAGAAAATACCGTGTTGACTCACCGCTTAGCTGATTGCCGGAAAGTAAAAGCCCCTGCAGTGCTGAAAGGTGCCCCAGCTCGGATGGGATGGGGCCTGTAAGCAGGAGTGTGATATAAATCAAGAGGGAATTAAAGATAATATCAAACCGCCTCTCTATTTTCAAGACAACTGATCTCCGTAGATCTTGTCGCCATAGGCGGGATTCTAGCAGTCCGGTGTGACGTGTGCACGCCGAACAAATCGGAGACACTTACCGCTCAGTTTGTTTGCGTAGAGGTGGAGCTTTTCCAGCTTGACGAGCTGCCCTAGCGACGCCGGGATTTCGCCTGCATGGTATTTGGTATTTGGGGGATGGCAAGAGTCGTTTGGTGCGTAGCAACAGATGTCCCGCGAGTTCCGCAATTGTGAAATTTTGTACTCGTCTACGCGTTGGCAGAACACATTATCGAGAATACATGCGTAGTTGGCTGTGAAGCACCCCCTCACCGGTTAGCTTGTTGCCCGAGAGCTCAAGGTCCCGCAGCTTGCTGAGAGCTCCTAGCTCTTTGGGGATGTGACCTGCAAGTGCACGGCAGCGGACAAAAAAAGGGGTATATTTACCAATTGTTCTGTAAGATGTGTCCTGGTACGAAATTTCACAATTGCGGGACTCGCGAGACATCTTTTGATACGTGCAACTGTGAAATTTCGTATCCGCCAACGCATCGGCGACGTTCATCAAGATCAACGCTGAAAACAAAATTGAAAACATTCACAACAAAAAGTTACCTGTGAGCTGGTTTTCCTTGAGCCGCAGCGCCTGCAGCTCTCGGAGATCTCCCAGTTCCGGCGGGATCGCGCCTGGAGCGAAAGTGCAAACAAGAATAAAGCGGAAATTTCAACCTGAAAAAAAAATGAAATCCCCCCTTCGAGAAGCGTTCACCATAATGGTGGTCGAGTAGATCATGTTGTGCGGGGTGGAGAACCCTCACTTCGCGCAAGGGGGATGATCGCACCACCTTGTGTTCAAATGGTCAAGCACCCTCGAGGCAGTGCTTACAACTCTCTGGAAGTGAAGCACCAGAAAATGAATTAGGTCATACGCAGCTGTCATCCGTACGCTAGGAAGTAAGCACAAGATGCCGAACACCCTTAGCAGGATGCAGCGCACCCTTCATGCGACTCGCCGAATATCTCACGGCGCTTCGCGCTTGGTGATGTGAGAGCCTGGTCCGGTGAGAACCCGGCGTGCTCCGTCCCGGCTTTGTAGGGATGCGAGGTCAATGGTCTAACGACTACGGCATGCATGACTATGAGTACACCCCCCCTTCGAGAAGCATGTGTCCTGCCAGGCCAGATTCATGCACGGACTCACGCAACATCGATCGGGAAAGAGCTAGAAAATACCGTGTTGACTCACCGCTCAGCTGGTTGCCGGAAAGGAAAAGCCCCCGCAGTGCTGAAAGGTGCCCCAGCTCGGATGGGATGGGGCCTGTAAGCAGGAGTGTGATAGAAATCAAGAGGAAATTAAAGATAATATCAAACCGCCTCTCTATTTTCAAGACAACTGATCTCCGTAGACCTTGTCCCGCCTACTACGCGGGATTCATGCNATAAAGATAATATTACACCGCCTGTCTATTTCCAAGACAACTGATCTCCGCGGAACTTGTCCCGCCTACTGCACCGGCGACGTTCATCAAGATCAACGCTGAAAACAAAATTGAAAACACTTTCACAACAAAAAGTTACCTGTGGGCTGGTTTCCCTTGACCCGCAGCGTCTGCAGCTCTTGGAGATCTCCCAGTTACGGCGGGATCGCGCCTGGAGCGAGAGTGCAAACAAGAATTTAGCGGAAAGTTCGACGTGAAAAAATAAAAAATCCCCCCCTTCGAGAAGGAGGTGTCCTGCCAACTTGCCAACTTGGGTTCCAGGCGCGCATTGGCAGGACACCTCCTTCTCGAAGTGGGGATTTTTTTATTTTTTCACGTCGAACTTTCCGCTAAATTCTTGTTTGCACTCTCGCTCCAGGCGCGATCCCGCCGTAACTGGGAGATCTCCGAGAGCTGCAGACGCAGCGGGTCAGGGGAAACCAGCTCACAGGTAACTTTTGTTGTGAAAGTGTTTCCAGTTTAAATTTTTAGCGTTGATCTTGATGAACGTCGCCGATGCGTAGGCGAGTACGAAATTTCACGAGTTCGGACCTCGCGGGACATCTTTTGCTACACAAGATATTGAAACAAATGCCAAAATAATAAGCTTACCTGTGAGCTTGTTGTAGTCGAGCGACAGCTCCCGCAGATCTCGGAGATCTCCAAGCTCCGGTGGGATGGGGCCTGCAAGCAGAAGAGGAAAACGAGATCATTGGGGAAAAACAACACAATTCCCCGCTTTCGAGAACAACTAATCACCAACGCTTGGTGGCAACCAGCTGAGCGGCGAGTCATGTCAAAGTTGAAGTGTTTTTGATCAGACTTTCTGAATGAATCCCGGAGATGCGTTGGCAGGACCGTTTTTCTAGACGCCGGGGGAGAAATTTTGTTTTCTCACGCCAACACTTTTCTTATATTCGTCTGGCAGGCACCATCCCGGCGGAGCTGGGAAAGCTTGAAGAACTGAAGGCGCTCAACCTTCAACGCAACAAGCTAAGCGGAAAGAAGCAAACATATTGCAATCTGGGTTCTCCCGATGGTCTTGCAAAAAAAGTCCTGTGTACGCTTGGCAGGACACATCTTCGAGAATACATGCGTAGTTGGATGTGAAGCATCCCCTCACCGATTAGCTTGTTGTTCCAGAGCTGAACGTCCCGCAGCTTGCTGAGAGCTCCTAGCTCTTTGGGGATGTGACCTGCAAGCACGGCAGCGGACAAAAATAGGGGTACATTTACAAATTGTTCTCGAAGATGTGTCCTGGTACGAAATTTCACAATTGCGCAACTCGCGGGACATCTTTTGCTACGTGCAATTGTGAAATTCGTACTCGCATAGGTGAGTACGAACTTTCACAATTGCGGAGCTCGCGGGACATCTTTTGCTACGCACCAAACGACTCCTGCCATCCCCCAAATAACAAATACCATGCAGGCGTAACCCCGGCGTCGCTAGGACAGCTCGTCAAGCTGGAAACGCTTCACCTCCACGCAACCAAACTCAGCGGTAAGTGTCGCCGATAAGTTCGGCGTGCACACGTCACACCGGATTGCATGAAACCCGCCTATGCGTTGGCAGGACACATCCTTCTCGAAGGCGGGGATTTTTTTTTTTTCCCGCTAAACTTTCCGCTAAATTCTTGTTTGCACTTTCGCTGCGGGCGCGATGCCGCCCGACCTGGAAGATAACCGAGAGGTGCTGTGGCTCAACAACAACCAGCTCACAGGGAACTTGTTATTATCACAATGGTTTCAATTTTTGTTTTAGCGTTGATCTTGATGAACCTCGCCGATGGATCGGCGAGATTCATGCACGGACTCACGCAAAATCGATCGGGAAAGCGCTATAAACTACCGTGTTGACTCACCGCTCAGCTCGTTGACGGAAAGGGAAAGCCTTTGCAGTGCTGAAAGGTGCCCCAGCTCGGACGGGATGGGGCCTGTAAGCAGGAGTGTGATAGAAATCAAGAGGGAATTAAAGATAATATTAAACCGCCGCTCTATTTTCAAGACATGATCTCCGTAGATCTGCTCCCGCTTACTAACGTGGGCGGGAGTCATGCCCGTTTCGACGGAAAAGGGTGATTGCTTTTGGAAACGACAGTGTCGAACCTTCGGACTACAGGCCCCATCCTCGCTGGAGCTGGAAAATCTTGCAGCGCTGCAGATCCTCAACCTTGCAGGCGACCAGCTACGTGTCGTGGAGGCTACTACATGCTCTACAAGCCGGTCCGATTATTGTTGTTTATTCCCCGCCGACCCTGCCGACGCCTAGAATACATCCTTCCCGTATTTTTCACAACACGCGGCATTTGCCACATTTTTCCAGGCATGCCTGCGACAGATAAAAAGGGATGGATGTCAGCACGGAAACCAACCAAGCCTACGGGGCCCGTGCGGAACGGGTTTTTCGTGGAGAATGCTCCGGAGTACAACGTGCGCCGCATCAGAGCCCTGAACGTCCCCAGCGTACCAGAGGCACTTGAAAGCCAGGAAAGGTTATGTGCTATACATACATGTGGCGCGTGTTGAAGGAGCAAGCTATAATGAGGCGAAACATTGCAGTGTCGAATAGCTTGGACGAATCCAGCAGTGGCCATGTACGCACAGCCTGCTGGTACTGCGGGAAATTCACATACGAGGGGTACTCAGGCGTAGACCGTATGCAGAACACGGGAACGTAGGAAAGAGACAGCGTTGTGGCATGTCGTAAGACTTGCAACTTCATCAAAGGGCCACTGCTGTCGGTCAAAGCGTTCTTGGGGGAGGTGAAAGAGATCGCAAGAAAGAAATCGAAGGATAAATAATACCTTGAAGGTTGTTGACCCCCAGAGATAACTTCACCACGCGGCCCTGGGAGTTGACTTCGACTCCGTACCATTGCGAGAGGACGGCACTAGTGTTCCAGTTTCGCGTGTCTTCCCACTTGGCCCCACCGGTCGCGTTGTATAGGGCAACCAGAGCCTTGCGGTCCGTCTGCGTCATCGTGTAGTCTAGGGGGCCTGGACACGCGAAAGTTTGCGGGACGTTCGCGAAGACAAACGCTCGTTCAACGAGCACACGTACCATCGATTTCTGTTGGTCGTCTCTCGCGACTGAAGTGGTGAATCACACCAGCATCACAAGAGGATGATTGCATCAAAGAACCACAACAATGTCTTCGAGCGCGAACAATCTCGGCGATGTGAATGATGAACGATGCCACACTTTGCAGCTGGATCAACAACCCAGTTTCTGAAAGAGAGGAGAGAGGAACAGAATAGAGCCACCTTTTCTTTGCAGTTTTCTGCAAGCGCGGTAGTAAGTGGGGAACAGCTGGACCCTGTCGTTCCCTCTTTTTACGGCACCGCTCTCGTCGTGTGGATCCTCTCTTTAAGGTGAGCTAGAGCACGGTGAATGTGCTCCTTGCTGAACTCAACCAGATGGGACTGCTGAACTGAATATGTGCTATGTTCTATGAATGTACGTTCCGCCGCTTTTATTCGGCGGGTGGACGCCTCCTTGAAAACAGGGGGGACATGTAGATCGGTCACGGCCCACGGCCGACAACCCCAGTACAACCCAGTACCAGAATACCTGGTGAGCACGATTACGGACAGCCGGAAAGATCAGCTAGGCCGGACGTAATCCCAACCATGGAAGTCAGTTCACGGCCGAGCAGATGTGCGAGTACCCACTGGCGGTGGTTTGGGGCGAAAGTGTCCAAGGCTTCACTACACTTTATCTCGCCATCAAGTGTGGCCTTCAATAGACACGTCATGGTTGAACTTGGCGGTTGCGCCGCTGCTCGGCGCGCTGCACGAAAACACTCCGCCTCTGAGATCACCTTGGTCGCCTCTGCCCCGCTCTGCGAGGGGGGAGCCTTCGCGATCGAATTCCACGCTTGGCTACCGGAGCTGATTCTGCTTTAGCGATGTAAGGTAGGCACAGCAGCAGTTCGGAGCGTGTGTGGCGCCAACATGCTTTTGCATGGTGTGTCTTACGCATATGTCATGTGTGTACCTGTACGTGACACCAGATACCACCCCCCCCTGCATGGGTGTTCAAAGCTCGAGTGCTCCACGACGAAAAGGCTGGAGTATCAAACAAACGATACGGCTTCGCAAAGCTCTCTATGAGCCGTTTCTAATGCCGCCATTTTCGACGTCATCACGCTTTTGTTGTTGTGGAATATTTGGGCTTTGAAATTTGGTTCAGGGGGTGTGATATCTTGTGCAACCAACGGTCAGCGGTACACGTTGTACAACGAGGTGGTGCTACGCGACCACAATAGTCGCTACGCGACCTCGACCTGCGGAGGGAACGGGTTTTCTTACCTAAGAACGAAGTGGATCTGGTGTGGAGCGGTTAGCCCGTGATGTTGTTACAACGGCGAACTCTCTGTACGCTAAATTACGGCACATCCATGAATAAATAACGCGGCGCGTCTCGTTTAGGAGACACTCTGCGTTACACCCACCCATACTCACCACCCACTCACAGCAATAGGGTAGGTCCTGGCCTTACTTGCTCATGTCTTGTACGGCAGTTGACGAAGGAAGAAAAATGTACGACGGCAGTTGTAATGCGTTGTGCATCCACCACGAAATATGCGGCTGCTGTATCCTGTCGGTCGACTTGGACACCCGGGCGATCAGCCACTTTCCCAGTTGGTTTTTCGGCAGAGAATCCCATGCTCCACCGCTTGCCCCGACCTGTGCAATCTTCTAACCTAGACAAAATATTTTCTTCTTCATGTGGTTGTTGTGCAGAAACCCGGTACGCAGTTTTTACGCGTGTGATACGAGTTGTGTGTGCTAAGATGGCAGTGAATCCCCTCACCCCATGGAGGGGCTCGCATCGATTGGCCCTGATCGGAAGACACGCCACCGACACGCTGTGAAGCTACACCACCAGGTGGGGTTGTTCTGTGTGAATCATTGTTACTCGGCGGAGTGAACAGACTATCGATGTGGACATCCGCTTTGCAACATCCTCCCATGGTCTCAATAGGCGATGAAATACGCAAGCATTTTCGACACTTTCGTAATCGACGACATCCCACCCTTGTCTGAAACATCGCATGGTTCATGGACCGAGCAGCGCTGGCGGTCCACCTTTTCCTGCAGCGTTCACGGGAACAACATGAGGAGGGAAAGAGGACCACATCCAGGCGAACGTTGACTCTCTTGACGAAGCTGGTAGGGAAGAGCCCTCCCGGGGAGATGGGAGAGACGAGGAAAAATACGCGGAGGTGGAAGCCGAGAGACGACACCGGATGGCGAGGAGGAAACTCGCACAGGAGACGGGAGCCGAGAGTCAAGCATCCGAGAGGGAGTTATGTCCTCTTGAGGAAGCTGGCGGAGAGGTGGGGGCGCCCGCGGGGGCAGGGGGGTGGCGAGGAGGAAAAACCCGACGAAGCTGGCCTAGACAGCACTGCCTGACGAGGAGGATAGGCGGGAGCCAGGGTCGGGTTACGGTGAGGCGCAGGCGGTTGGGCTGGGTTGGGTTTTTCGTGTGGCAGGAACAGTCGTACACCTCACATCCCCCAGGAATGAATATCGAAAAAAAGATACATGCGCCGTGACAACGCCGTCCATTGGAGGAAGGACGCGTTGAATATGAATCCTCGTCAAACGCCGGTATTTTTTTTTTTTTGTCTCAACTTCAAATCAGCGCTCACGGCACTAGTGTATATGTGAATCGTAGATACACTGGTACTTCCTCTGTATCATAAGCTAGGGTACCTAAATGCAATAGATTGTCTGGGTGTAACCGTGTTAGTGATGGTAGCAAAGTCGGGTTTGTAAGAAAGATAAATCAAAGAAGAAGCGATAGAAAAAAAAATAAAAAAAAACGAACATCTATTTCTGTACCTAATATTGGTCAAAATATACCCTATTTTGGCCTGTTTCGGGAGTATTTTTGAGAAAATATTTTGGGATTTTTTTTTAGAATTCTCGACAAAAATCTCAAAATCATCTAATTTTAGTACCCTAGGGTGGTAAAATGCGATCAGGAGGCTTTGAACAAGGCTTACACTTGGGCGGCATCGAGTCCAAGTGATGATGAGGAAGAATAGTCGACTTTTTCTTTATTTTCTCCGCCACCAACCAACCCTCCTTTTTGTCCCGCAAGTGTCTTGATTTTAGGGTGCCCCCCCAAGTGTCTTGGTTTTAGTGTGGTTCACTACTATACTGCTTTTAGTATAGGGGGCGCGACATGGATCGTCGAGTAGAGGGGGGGGTTGGCTGAGGGCCCTACTGTCGCTTGCTTTGCCCCGCAAGTGTCTTGGTTTTCTTCAAACGTTTCCCCAGAATCAAAGTGCTAAAAGCTACTGCAGGTACTTGCTGGAAGCGCTGTTTTGCGACACACATGGTTCACGCTACAATATCAATACCGGATGGGTGCCATGTTTGTTTAATTACCTGTCAGCAAGCGAAGGGCTCGGAAACTAGAAAGACAACATGCATTCCCGCGCGTGGTTGTGTCAAAAGGGGCCGTGAGACATACGTGTGCCTACCTGGGATTTAAGTCGTTGTAGCAACACGAAGACCGCTCGCTATCAGCACCACCGTGCTGACTGCGTCTTGGGCGGCGCGACAGCAATCGAATGCGCCGCCTTCAACGTCCACGTCTTCCAGAAGCGCTCGAACCTGAAATAGCATGATTTGAGATAACCCCGTGCGCCCATTACAAAAGTAGACATCCATGTTTTGAATCTGTCATACTCCAAGTGCTATCTGGCAGAAGGATAGCGCGGGCAGCTGCGGAGAAACAACATGTAACGATTTCCATCCTGCGGTGGACGCTAGGGTGAGGGGCGACAGTTGAACGTACATGCTCTGCAATGATTTGCATCTCTGCTCGCATAACGGTTATGACTTTGGACTTGAGAGAAATGACCACTAGTTTGGGTCAGGAAAATCAAGAAAACTTTTATTTTTATTCGACGAGTCGCTTTGGAAGGACCACGAAGTGCCTAAAAAATGGGTTGTGCAGCCGGCGCCAACACTTGGAAAGTTTTGTCGGGCACCAGCCATTACTGTTGTTGGCCGATACCCTTCCACGGGCTTCCAGGTATGGTACATGTATCATGACGTGCTTGACGGAAAGAACGTTGATTAACCATCCGCAAGGGCGGTCTGGGGGCACTCCCGATCCCCATCGGTCCAGCCAATTGCACCCTGTAGGGTACATTATCATCATTTGAGTACACTCGTTTTGCACCTTTTGTCTATGGACTTCAGACGGAAGCCACAACGTAAGGCGACGGCTGCCCAACCACCATGTTGTCCCTAGACCGATTGTCTTCCTTCTGGCGGCACCTCTTGAAAGATCTGTCAATCCCACCGACACAGTCGGGCCGGCGAGAGATGCACTCTCCATCCTTGAGAGGGTCTCCTTGAAGGTCGCGCTCATTTGACCACCCTTGCCCTGTTGTTGCTGCCCACTCGCCCAGCCCCCCCCAATATGTTCCGTCCAACTTGCTTCTACTTGCTTGAGCACCCGTCGCGACTGCCGGAACGTCCACGGACGAATCAAAGCGCAAGTCTTGCTCCTGGCGCTTATTTATTTACATGCACAATTTGCTACAGGAGCCGAGAAAACCGCGGGTCATGGCGCGTACTGTACCCCGAAAACCACGTTCTTTTTGGCCGTTTTTTCGCTGACCGAAACGCATTGCTGGAGAAAGGGGATGTGCTCAGCTGTACGCAGCAAGCACCCATAAAGTCGAAACCAGTACAGGCCGCACTGATTTTGGGCTGGTTGGGTGGGCTACACCCCGAAACTCCTCGTGTACCAGCTCTCCTGTGAGGCAGCTATTGTTATTCGCCCACAGAGCACTAAATGGTACAGAGCTTGCAACATCCGCTGCTGTGTGAGTAGAACGACAGCTCACCGCGGTTAAATGCTCTCTGGCGTGGACTTGTGGATTGTTGAGGCTGATCTTGGGTGCTTCTCTGGCGGGCGATGCCCATGGCGATAGGGGGGGGGGGGGCGGGGGAATCTACAGGATACTGTCTACGATGACCCGGCGTAGTTTCATGCTACGTGAATCATTCATACATCGCGCCTGTCGCATTCTATTTGTGTCGTTTCTTCTACTCTGCCCTACAGCAGTTGAGCTCCTTCCGGGCCATCCCTTCGGCAACACTTTTGTTGCGCCGGTTGCGGCGACCCGTACTGAAAAAAAAAGAGCCACAAAACGCGGGCGAACTAAGATTGGTTACAGAACGCGCCCGCACTTGAGGACCTCTAGTTTCGGCCGCGGCTGAGGTACTTAGTTCGTGGGGGTCATGCTACGAATGGTCGCTATATAGATTTTTGTGTACGGATCCTTAACCGAGCTCACAAATGGTGCTCACGTTCTTATTTTTTGTTTCTTTTGGGCTCAATATCTTAAGGCCGCGGGCGCATTCTGTAACACTCGAGTTCTTGCGAGAACTTCTCGCGTTGGTCTGAAGGGGGGCCGTGGATACATGTTTCACGAAAAGGTATGTTGAGCCGCCCCGCGGTACCACGTTCATCGTTTTGCGATTTTGCGGAAGCAAATTCGAATATTGCCAGTCCTGGAATCTTCCTCAAAATGTGTTCGATTCTTCCCTTGTGTCTGGCTTAAGGCCATACCCCCAACATCTTGCCCCTGCATCCTTGAGTTGAGGCCAACGGTCATGGTGGAAATGGCGACTGACTGTATGTCGTACAGTGGGGGGCCCGCTATAGTGCCGGGTAGTGTCCAGAGGGAAATGCGGCACTATACCGGGCACCGGCAGAATT